AGGTTGGGCAGCCCCTGCCTGCCAGAGCCCCCGGGTGGCTGCTGCTGGCCAGGGCCCAGATCCTGTTTGCTTCTGCGTTTTAGACCTATTTAAAAGGGGCCAGGCTGGAAGCGCAGCCCGACATGCCCTCCGCCAGCATGGCCGGAATTCCCTCCCTGCGCTGTGCTGGCCGGGGTTACGGGGAGGGCAGGAGGGGCTGCTGCTCCACCGGTGGGACAGCGTCCCTTCAGAAACCCCTGCCCCACGGCGTTGCCCCTCTGCTCTCGCCGCAGATCTGCTTCAAGTACTTCTGTCGCTCCTGCTGGCACTGGCAGCACTCCATGGAGGTCCTGCGTCACCACCGCCCGCTGATGCGCAACCAGAAGAACAGAGACTCCAGCTAAAGCGGCCGCCGAGGCTCGGGGGCTGCCGCAGGCGCAGGAGAAAGTCCTTTTGTGAACCTGCCAAGTGGAGAGCGCACGAGCGTGCCTGCTGGTGCCAGACCCAGGCTGGGAACGTGCTTCCTGAGGACTAACGGGGAAAAAAAAAAATCTTACATTCACGTTTGCACTTGCTGGTCTTTTTGTTTCTGCACTAATGCACAGTGAATTTTGTCGGGTTTTGTTAGGGGTTTTTTGAGGGGGGGGAGCGCCCCTCAAGCGATTCTGCAGTTCCCAGACTTTGGTTCCTAGTTTGCTGACGAGAAGCAAAAAAAAAAAAGGGCCACGTGTTGAGAAGGTGTTTATGCAGATGCCTTCACCTAGGTTTTTTATTTATTAAAGGCGCTTTTTTACATTCCTTGCAATACTGATGGTAATAATGCAGGTCTCATTGGCTCCATTTTTTTGCAGTTGCCATACAGTGCCTTTCCATTCATTTAACCCCCATCTGAACGGCATAAAAAACTGAATGTTCAGCTGGCGTTTTTTACTGTAACAACAAGGAGACTTTGCTCTTCATTTAAACCAAATCATATTTCATATTTTACGCTCGAGGGTTTTTACCAGTTCCTTTTTACACTCTTAAACAGTTTTTAAGTCGTTTGAAACGAGAGATTTTTTTCTTTCCTGGCAGCTTTTAACATTATTGCAATTTGTGTCTGGGGGCTGCTGGTGGAAAGTTGTAAATCGAGGGGTTTGCAACAGAACAGGACGGGCTTTTTTTGGATTTGAAACTGGACCGGATAAATGATCTCTGAGCTGCTGTATATAGTTTTAAATAGTTTGTTGCACTTTTTTAAGTTGCACTTAAGGGGGGTTGATAGAGGTTTTTAATCACACAAAGTCACAGGACTTAACTTTTCTTTTGTAACTAGCTAAAAAAGGGCTGCATTTCGGTGGACAGATGAAGGTTCATAGGAGCCCTTTCTCTTAGAGGGGACAAGTACTTTTCCTTTCCTTTCCAAAATGTATGGAGTAATGGTGCAGTCGACTGAAATGCTGCTGCTGGGATTTGAGAACTTTAATTTTTTTTTTTTACTTTCCCCTCTATTGGAA